CAAGAGGGATCGTCTAAAAACATTATTAGCTAAATCCTTTATCACTCCCCTGTTGCCCTTAGACTAAAATTCAAACTCTGCTCCATGACCTCAAGGCCCTGGCTCTTGCCTACCTCTTCCGCGACATCTTGTACCGCCCTTGCCTGGACACCTTGAGCGTGCCCTTCCTGTTTCCTCCTCCGCCCGCTTGTGCTTCCTGCAGCTCTTCAAATGGCTGCCTCTTCCTCATCTTTCAGGTCTCAGCTGGGCAGCCCCCTCCTCGGGCTCTCCCTGATCATCATAACTAAAGTGCCGTTCATTATTCTCTTATCGCCTCCTACAGATAAATGATCCCGATCTATAGTGATCTGATTTATTTATTGGTTTTCTTGCTCAATGTCCATCTCCTGTGTGACAATATCAGTGTTATGGGGTAGGAACTTGCCTGTATCATTCACTTCTCTATTCTCGTTATCCTGCATAGGTAATTACACTCCCCGGCGTGGAATGTGCACTTGGTAAATGTTTGACTGACTGTTGACTGGGTCAGGGACCCTGATGGTGGGCCGTGTGCTCTGAGAGCTGTTATATCACTCAGCAGTTGTGAGTTGCCCTAGAGAGAGGCTAAGGCCCGTCCTCACACTAAACCCACAATGGCTTCCACTCCCTCTTCCCAAGTTTTTCGGGGTATAAGAAATAAAATAAAATTTCTTTCTTTGTAATAAGCTTACAAAATAGTAGAGCCTGCTTTTTGTGCTGACTCCGGCTCATGGATCCTCCTCTGGGAAGCCCTTTGGCCTGGCAAAGGGCCCTACGTATGGATTCCCATAGCACTTTCTTGAGGTGTAATTTACATTTGGTGAAATTCGCCCATTTTAAGTGTACAGTTTGATGAGTTTTGACAACTGTATGCACTCATGTAAGCACTCCAAAAAGTTCCCTTGTGCCTAGGCTGCTGCTTTTTTTTAAAAAAAATTGTGGTAAAATACATATAAAATTTACCATCTCAACCATCTTTAAGAGTACCATGCAGTGGCATTAAGTACATTCAAATTGTCGTGCCACCAACACTACTATCCGTCTCCAGAACTCTTTTCATCTTGCAAAACTGAAACTCTGTACCCATTAAATAGTAACTCCCTATTCCCCGCTCCCTCCAGCCCCTGGCAACCACCATTCCGCTTTCTGTCTCAATGATTTTGACTTTTGGCTTCTTTTTTTTTTCATTGTAAAAAGCATATATAAAACAGTAGCCATTTTTAAGTGTACAGTTCAGTAGTGTTAAATATAATGACTTCTTTTTAAGTATGTGTAGGTTGACTTGTGAGCGCAGAAAACTCCAAATAACAGTAGCTCAAACAGGGTAGTCCACAGCTGCTATGACAGCTCTGCCGTCACTAGGAGTCCAGGCTGCTAGCTTGTGTTTTGTCATTTGTAACACACAGCTTCTATCTCATAGTCCAAGATAGCTGCTCCAGTTCCAACCTTCAACTCCACATTCCGGCCAACATGAAGGTGAAAGGGGGAGAAAGGCACATGTTCTTCCTTTAAGAGCGCTTCATAGAAGTTACACACATTACTTTGTGCTTATGTCTCATTGGACAGAACTTAGCTGCATAAGCACATCTTGCTGCAAGGGATCTGGGAAATGTAGTCTTTATTCTGGACCACATATTCCAGCCCTAATTTGTGAGTCTTATTGCTGAGAAAGAAGAGGAGCAGGCAGTGTCTCCCACAGCTTCTCTGCCTTGTAGCACCGATCACTGCACTGAAACCAACTCCTCGCTTCCTACTGGACTCTAGATCTTCAGCCAGGGGCTGTGACTTTTACATCTTAGCACAGAGCCACATGCTTAATGTTTGCCGTACAAATAAATGATTCTAGCTCCACCATCTTATTTTAAAAGTTAGAGAAGTGAGGCACTGCAGGGTGAAGTGACTAGGGTCATCTAGGCCAGATTCCCACCGAATTTAGAAAACTGCTTTACTCCAGACTGGGTGGATGGCCTCCACTGACCACGCCCCTGCCCAGCATCCCCGCCTCTGCTGCTGGGCAGCTCCAGCCCTCAAAGGCCCCTTCTGAGTGTGAAGCCAAACTTGACCTCCATGGAACTCTCCCACTGGTTCTACGTTGCCCTCTACACCACGTGTCCACTTTCCATAGCTTCCCCTGCCCCTGGGTCTTCCTTTGCCAGGCAGAGATGCCTCCCATGAGTCTTCACAGGCCATGATCCTGGCTGAGGGGTTGGGGCACATGGGGTCTGAGAGTCTCCTGAGGCTGAGCGCCCTGGGCAGGAAGGCGATCCCACCTTTGTCCCGAAGTCCTCCTGGGTTGTGCAGAAGAGAGCTGATGACGCTCATGCTCTGCCTGGTCTCTGAAGGCCTCCAGTCCCTATATCTGCTCAATGGCAGAGGAAATGATTTACTCCTAACCTGAGATTTGCTGCTTTCGCGTGTAAAGGCAGACATGCCCTTCACAACGTGAAAGCTGCAAACACAGAGAGGAGATGGATGTCATGCTGAGGAGGCTGAAGGATGTGTGTCACAGATCCCCTGGACGCCATGAAGATTTATTGGTTGGCCACTGAAAGTCCCCACATCTCCTCATGGTGATCCCGTTGCCCTTGCCAAGGGAGACACCCTCATACCATGCCCTGTGCAGGTAGTCCTCTGTGTCAGGACAATCCAATCAGAAATAGGGGTGTGGAGAGGGGCTTCTGTTGCTGCTGAGCAAGAATTGCATGCCCTAAGGTAGGGACTGAGATGGTTGAGGGGGACATGGGAGAGGGGTGAGGAGTGGGGAGGAGGTTGATGGGGTGGGGTCTGGGGCATGTGTGCAGGAACCTGGCCCCAGCCCTCTTTATAATTAGCCAAGTCACCACAGACATCCTGCTGCCTCCACAAGACAGAGGGGAAGCGACGGCTGTCGTGGCCTGCCTCTGAAAGCCCGCAGTGCCCCCAGCCCGCAGCATAGTCTCTCTGGTTTGGTTTATATTGTGAGGCCTGATGGCCTGGACTTTAAGTTTTGGGGCGCCTTCTCTGACCCAAGACTCTTCCCCTCTCTCCTTTCCTGCCTTCCTATAGTCCCTGGTCCCTGGGAGGGGGCTTGTCCTCCTCTGCCGCCCTCTCACCTGCTGGCTGAGGCAGTGGGGGACAGTAGGCTCCTGTTTTTAGCTTCCTTAGTCCTATAGTCCCTGATGCCATCTGTGGCTTCTTAAGCCAATCCCACCCACTGCAGGTCTCAGGTTGGTTCTCCTCCCCAAAGCGTGGCTGCACAGGGCAACACCGTCTCCCCAGGACCCTTGTAGAGTGTGGCTGCTAAACTCTTCAGGGAAACAGCACGAGGGTGTGACAAAGACCACATAGGAGGCATCACCCAGGTGCCTGGGTCTCATGGTATTCTCACAGTTGAGGCTTCACACTTGGCTTACCAGTTCCTTCCAGAAAGATCTTTCAGCTTTAATTCTTACTACTCCAAGGGTGGCATTTGAGCTCCCTTCCCCAACAAAGGCTCTTTTCATTTTCCTGGCACGCTGGTGCTTGAGGTTCCCATCAGGGCAGAACAAGAGGGGCCTGTGTCCCCGGGTATCCCTGCTTCTGGAGACCCCAGGCTGGCTGCATCATGCTGAGTGACTGTCAGGCCACATGGGGACAAGGCAGCTCCCTCTTCTCCTTGAGGGCTTCTCTTGCCCTCTTTGGGCATGGTCACTACAGGGGCCACTGTCAAGGCACAGGCATCGATGGGAGGCATCAGGAAGAATGGGAGCCAATGGTATGAATTTAAATCCTGGAACTTTAAGCAAATACTCAGAATCATTCTACCCAGCACTAAATACCAAATGAGTCAGCCTCTGGGTAGTGGCCACCCTCCTCCCCAAATTCCCTGGCAAAGCAAGGGAAGCTGCCTGGGGGCCACCTCAGTCTGCCAGCAACTGGAACTCCAAACCACCCTGTGATCCTGTTCCAGCCCCAATGCCAGGGTGACCCCTGATGCTGCACACATTCTGCTCAACGACTTTTAGGGGAGGGAGCCAGGGATGGGCCTATGTTCTCTCCCTACCCCCACCTTGATGCTGTGGGCAGCTCCCACCATCCTCCTCCTATGCTTCCCCTCCAGGCCCTAGTACTTGCCCTTTCCCTAGCAGATGTAACCTGAGGGGGCATTTCCCAGAACAACCAGATCTGAGAAGAAAAAGCAGACTCCACACCTTAGTGCTTGTTAGCATATTCTGGACCCAGGGCCATGTGGCTTGGCCCACACTTTGGCAGGTGAATCTGTTGTTCCCGCCAGGTGAGTCAGCAGAGATGGAACATTCATTTGTTTGGGCAAACGTGTCATGTCAGAGTGGTTCTGAGCAGCCCAGCACACAGTGGTCTCCCCCGGCGGGCAGGGAGGAAGAGCTGATGAAGGGAGACGGAGAGGTGGCAGCTTGGACCTCCTGGATGCCCAGCTAAGGGAGGGGAGGCAGGCCTAGGACAGACGGAGCAGCAAAGCAGGGACAGACAGGAGGACGGATTCCAGAGGCTTGGTTTTATTGTGCAGTTTTCTTTTTCCTCAATGAGATGCCGTAAGCTGTGGTGGCACTACACATGGTCACAGGACAGGGCAGAGCCGCCAGAAGGGGAGGTAGGTGTTGGGAAAAGCCATCTCTTGAGGTGTGTCCCACTCGTGGGTCTCACTCCATGGCCTGCCTCAGGCCCCCAGAGGTCCCTGAGAAGGCAGGCCTGTGGCGCAGGGGGCTGTCTGAAGGCTCAGGCACCAGCCAGCAGAGGCTGGCACTGACGGGAAGGGAGGAAGAGACTCCTGAAGAAACACTGGGGCCACACTGGCCTGGCTCTGGGGCTCCATCTGGCCCGCCTTACTGCCTCCAGGTCAGAGTTCCAGAAGCTCTTAGGAGCTTGGAACAGCCTGGGAGGGGGCTTGTCCTCCTCTGCTACCCTCTCAACTGCTGGTTGAGGCAGTGGGGGACAGTAGGCTCCTATTTTTAGCTTCCTCATGTAGGGAGGGGTGATGGACCCTCCCTTCTACCTGCCTCCCCTACCTTCCATTAGCACTGATCCCTGGGCAAAATCTGCATTTTCACTGAACTGTGCTCTGGGCCCAAGGCCCGTAGGGGACTTCTGCGGTGGTGAGAGGCCAGCTTTCTTGCTGTGGCAGAGAATTGCTCCTGGAGACGCTCGGTTCTCCTCCCCTGATGGGCCACAAGTGCTCGGTGGTGCCCTCACATCTGGGGTCTTCAGGCACCATCCTTGCCTGCTGAGGGATGTGCTAGGCCCAAACACACCCCGTCCCTCTCCTCATCCAGGTGTCTCCCAGGCCTCTGGTCCCATGGGCAAGGACAGCCCTCAGGCACTGGTACCCTTCCATCCCACTACCCTCCCACACCCTCTCTCTCCATCAGGTCCCCAACCCTGGCTTCCCTTTTCACAAACTCCCAAAGAAAAGGAAGGGTAAACCCTAAATAAACCAGACAGAAGCAGCTCTGGAACAAAAAGTACAAAAAGACAGCCAGTGGCGTGCGGAGAGGGTGTGGGGTGGTGGTGGGGTGGGGTCGCGGTGGGTAGGTAGTGGCATGCAGCACTGGGATTCCTTATGAGGGGTGGGGTCCTCATTTCTCCCCGAGGTGTGTGAGGGATGGTGGGAGGGGTCAGCTGACACAGAGAAGTAGGATCACTGGACTGGGCCTTGTGGCTTTCTGTGTCCTCTGCGGGCCCACCAGTCACAGGGAGATGAAATCCATGGCCTGCAGGAGGGGCAGGGAGAGCAGGAGCAGCAGCAGCCGCGAGGTGTTCTGGGCCAGCAGGCTTATGCCCTCACACTTGACCAGTTTGTCTGTGGAGAGAGAATGGGGTGGAGGGGCGGGGCAGGAAGGGAGAGGGACAGGACTCAGGCAGGCACAGGCCCAGTGCAGGGGCGTACTCCCTCGGGGAGGCTGGCACCATGATGTCTTAGCTGGAACCAGGGCCAACCTGGTCCTAACAGAACCAGCCACCTCCCCTCTGCAGGTTCCTGAGCCCCTGAACAAACACCATATCAAATCTTTACTGAGCGTCATCACAAGAAAACTGGGTGACATAGCTAGTGCCATCCTTGTTTTCCAGTGGGTGGAGAGGGAGGATTGGAGAGGCCAAGCGATTTGCCCCCAGTCATGGTGGAAGTGTCTGCTACACCCCTCTGCCTGTCCGACTGTCCCCTCAGCCCTTCTCCCCATTCACACTGAAGGCAGTCATTCCTCAGGGCACCAGGCAGCAGCTGGGAGAAGGGGAGGGAGGTTATGGCGCCACCGCCCTCTCTGACCCAGCCCAGGGGACTGCCTGCTGTCCTAGCCAGCCCATTCCCCCCCAGCCTGCCTCGCCCAGCTCACTTCGCCTTGTTGCAGGCTTGCCTTACCTCTGAGTACAGAGACAGTCTTGTTGGAGACGACTGGAGGCTGGCCAGAGAGGCGGAGTTCGCATGTGTAGAGCCCCTCATCCTTGGTGGTGAAGCTGGATAAGTAGAGGACCTTGATGTTGTACTTGCTGGTGAAGCTGGTTCGGGAGCGGTATGTGTGCTCAGGCACCCCCACAGTGCCAAAGAGCACGTGCTTCTTTGTCTCACGGGTCAGGCTAAACTCGTACTGGATGGGCAAGGCGGTGGTATTCTCATGGCGGCAGTCCAGACGAAGGCTCTGGTCCACCAGGCAGGCCGTCAGGCTGGTCACCTTCTGCCCACAGGCCACCTGCAAGACTGGAACCAGCAGTGCCCCCTCCAAGTTGGGGGGGCCTGCAGAGCAGGGGGCCTCCCACCCACATTAAAGTAGAGAAGGGCCTGGCCAGGGAGGGCACAAGGGTCTGCTCTCTGAGCACCTCTCCCCACCCCAGAGGTCCTGAGGGTCAGTCCCACTTCCTCGCTGCAGACCCCTGCCTCCCCGCCTCATCTACTCTAGTCCTGGGTCCCATCAGTGTGTTCTAGGGGCGGATCCTGGAGAGCTGATGCAGGTTCCTGGTTCCCATTCAGAGATTCCAACTCAATATGGGGCGGGCTCAGTGAACTGTGTTTCCAAAAACCACCTCAGGCAGTCAGAAGATCAACTAGTTTGCTCAGCTGACTTAGAGATGAAAAAGAGCCCTCTCTCCCTTAGCCACCTCCACCTCCTGAGGTCTTGAGGAAGAAGCTAGCTTCTCTCAAGGGAAGGAAGCCAGGGTGCCTGGAATCCCAGTCCTGTCCCTTGCCCAGTACCTGTTAGCAGGAGAGCGATGCCAGTGGTGGGGTTCATGGTGCCGAGAGCTCAGTCCTGGATCTGAGGGTGGGAACAGGATGGGAAATCAGACAAGAGATGGGGCAGGCGTGCCCACCCTTACTGCTAGGGCTGGGGGCGCCTGGGAGACGTGCCATAATGGCCATGGCGAGCATCCGAGCCCCTCTCTACAGCCCTCTCCCATCCCTACTTCTCAATGAATGTGACACTGCCACTTGGTTCTTTCCCCTTTGGGGAAAGCAAGAGGGGAGGGAGGTCATACTCTATAATGGTGTGTGTCCTGCTGAACACTTCCTAGCTCGGTAACTTTGAGTAAGTGACTTTAACTTTACCATTTCCTCTTCCCTTTAGGAAGGCAGGGACTTCCTATTTTTTAACTGTGGTAAAATATACATAACACAAAACTTACCATCTTAACGGGTTTTTTTTTTTGGTGAGAAAAAAAAATGTCACCCGGGGCTAACATCTGTTGCCAACCTTCGTCTTTTTTTGCTTGAGGAAGATTAGCCCTGAGCTAACATCTGTGCCAGTCTTCCTCTATTTAGTGTGTGGCTGGCAGCCTCAGCATGGCTGTCGAGTGGTAGGTCCGCGCCTGTGATCTGAACCGGCGAACCCGGGCCGCCTAAGCCGAGTGCGCCCAACTTAACTACTACGGGGCCGGCTCCCATCTTAACCATTTTTAAGTGTCCAGTCCAGTAGTGTTAAGTTCCTTCACATTGTTGTGCAACCAATCTCCAGAACTCTTTTTATCTTGCAAAACTAAAACTCTTTACCGATTAAACAAAAACTCCCCATTCAGGGACCTCCTATTTCTTGTTCAGAAGAAAACCTGGAATGCCCAGACAGTTCCTGGCATTTAACAGATGCTCAAAAGATGTTGAACGAATGAATGAATCTGAGCTTTAAATACTCACAGGGTTGTGATGGGGATTAAGAAAAATGACAAACATCTGGCACTATGACTGCTCCATAGTAAGTGATCCACAGACATTAATTTCCCTCCCCTTAGATGACTGTGTGGTTAGGGATGATGTCAGGAATGTGTGTGGCTAAGGTGCTTCCAGATAGGACTATACTTGGCACACACTAAGGGTGTTCTCCGATGTGTGAGGGAAAGTGACAGTGCCCTCCGATTGCATATGTTCTCTGATTGCATAGGAACCAAGATGTTTCCGAATGTCCAGCTCTCCGGGCAGGATTCTTGGGCTCGCAGTTTTCCAGTCTGGCTTCAGTAACATCCTTGCCTACGCTCTCTGCCTTGTGTTTTTTTTGCAGCCAAAGCTGGACCAACATCCTGGCGAGGCGACGCAGAGCAGGTAGCCTAGCCTGTCCGCAGCGGTGCTCGCCAGGGGTGAGGCCACAGCAGGAGCGTGAGCCTGCGATTGCGCGCGGGGCCCAGCCCTGGTGCGTGCGCCCGGGTGCGCAGGGCGCGCAGCTCGCCGAGTCTAGGGTCCCCGGCGCTCAGCCCTGCGGCGGGGCGAGGCTACAATCAATACCCTCTTGGATCCCTGCCGAGAGGGACCCGGAGTGCTGTTGGGGAAGAGAGGGGGTGGGCATCTGGCTTTGATTCGCTAACACTTGAGTTACCGAGGAGAGGTGAACTTGGGAACGAGGAGGCAAATGGGGAAGCGGCGGCTAGAACAGGGAGGGGAAGAAATGGAGCTGGGGCTGGAGGGGGATGTAGAGCCAAAGGGAGGAGCGGGAGAGAGCGGTAGGAGGCGCAGAGTCTGTTTTCATTTCCTCTGCCGTGTGTCCCGCAGCCCAGAACCCAGGGAAGCTCTGCGCTCCCTCCCTTCCCAGCCGCCGTTCGACTAGCCCCACCCTTATTCCGTTTCCATATTCCAATCCTCTCCTTTCCCAATTGAGGTCCCCCTTCCCCCATTCTCATCCTTTTCCAGTTCTCCCCTCCCCCGTCTGCCCGCCATCCTCCCAGCCCCCGCCTGCGGCACTGCGGTTTCCCTTTCCTCTGATTCCCTGCACCTTGCCCGCCTCGGGGGGCAGAGATTTCCCTCCAGCTTGCCTTCCTCGGTTATCTCCCCCGCAATTTCATCCCCCGCCGCCTTTGCGAGTTGGGTTTGGGGACGTCTGGCTGTCCTTGGCGCCCTTCTTCCCGTTCTCCTCCAGCGCCTCAGCCCCAGACAACTGTTCTCCCAGCGGGCAAGAGCCCGGGAGCCGAAAGGCCGGGTGCGGCGCGGCCCCCGGCCTGCAGCAGTTGTTGCGGGGTGGGGCTAGTCCCGCGCGCACCCTCGCCTGGGAAGCAGGCCCTCCCCAAGCACCGCGCGGCTCCTTCCCAGGGCGCCCTCGGACCGTTTCCCGAAGCCTCGGGCTGGGAGGGCTTGCGTGGGCGCCTGGGAACTATCCCTGCCCTGGCTCCAGCTCCCACCTGGGCTCCGGTCCTCCGCTGCTGCAGTCTCCTCCGGATGCGCCGCTGCCTCCAGTTGCTGCACCCTGCCCGGCGCCCGCAGTTTTCACCAGGGGTGGGAGAGCAGGAGCGGGGAGGACCCGGGGGCTCGGCCAATCAGAGGCTGAGGGGGAGCGAGAAAGGATGGCGGAGGGAGGAGGCGGTCCGGTATTGGGGTGGGAGAATGGCCGTCTGCCGCAGAAGGGGGAACTCACCCTGTGGCTGGCAGGCCTGTCCAGGGACAGGAGGGTTCAGGACCCGGGGATCAGACTGGGGCAGTGCAGGGAACGCTAGCCGCCTCCCCGAGCCCCACGATGATTGTTCTCCTTTCAAGGCTTTAACCCTTTCTTCTGATCTAGGCTTCAGAAGTCTGTGGGAAACCAAGGAGTAAGGAGTGGAGGGTGGAGGCTGCGACCAGCCCCTTTAGGCAGTGCCCATGACTCCTTGTTTCCTTTCCAGCTGGAGCCCACCTCCTCCGGAGCCTCCACTGAGGGGTTTCGGAGTTGGAACATTCCAGGCTCTCTCCAAAGGAAGATGGTGGGGCACATCTTCCTTTTGGAGCAGCCCTGCGGGAGTTAGGCAGGCTCTGCACTCGGTCCTTCCTTCCTTCCCGGTCCCCAGCCCTGCCCCACGCCCTCATGCGTTTTAGAACGCCCAGCCCTTCAGGGGCTCTCTGCTCTGGGCACTCAGTCTCCCTCAGGTCCTGGGCTGGCACCTCTCAGGGCAGACAGCTAGAAGGTTCTTCTAGATTTCACATACTCCCCCCACCCCCCCCAAGTCCCTGAGTACTGTCTGCTAAGGAGGGACGGCAGGTTACATCCACGGCCATGTTGACCCTGCCACAATCTCCTGGGTTCATCGCATCCCACTCCCCATCCCATTGCATGGCTAGCAAGTGGGAGAGCTGGCCAGTCGACCTGGGCTTTGGAACCCCAAGTCCTCAGTGCTGAGCCCCTCCACTGCTCATCCCAGCCCAGTGGGAGGGGAAATTGCTGAACTGTGGGAAGGGGGAGGAGATGGGACCTACTAGGAACAAATAGCAAATAGTGGAGACCAAGCTTTTAATCCCCTGGGGCACCTGTCCTCGCGCCATCAATTTGACGTCACCAGAAGCCCTTGGGTCCTTGTTTACAGGCAATTCTGATGATTTGTCTCTCCCACCCACAGGTGAGGGGAATTTTTTTGAACAAAGATTTATTTGATTGATTTGCATCCTCATGGCCTCTTTGTGAATTCTGGTTGGGACATCCTATGGGCCGGCCCTGCCTCCCCACCGTCTGCCTGCCCATTCTCCTATTTCTTCATAGAAGTCAGCCCTGGCATCTTTGCTGCAGTTTCCATTACTGTAATAGCACTGTTGGAAGCCATCCCTGGGCTAGCAAGTGGGAGATTCACTTCCCCCTCCTTCTCTTGGAGGTTTGGTGGCCTCCCAGCTGTTAGACTGATGCAACTTTCTAACTGGAATGAGCCTTGTGGATGGTTGAACCCAGAGGCCATTCATTCTGGCAAACCACAGAAGCTTCTGGATACTTTATAAAAAATGAAGCTGCCCCTCCCCACCTGGAGTCTCTCTTGTCTAATAGCAGAGCTGCCTGAGTCTGCATTTTTCACAAGCTCCCCAGGGTCTGGGGGCAGCAGAACACTGGTTTTCATAGATCGGGGAACCTGGCTTCTCGTTGTCTGTAGGGTAATTCTTAAGGTCCTAGATGTCCTGGCCATTGGCTTCCGACCTCCACTATCACCTAATCTTTCCCGTTCATCTTCCTGCTGGATTCCAGACACACTGATCTCCTCCCTGTAACTCCATGCAGTGTGTTCCTGCTTAACAACTCTCTGAGGCTTGGTCCAGGGATCTTTTCTGTATGAACACAGTTGCTTTAGCTTGGGGCTTAACCTTCTCCTCTCTCTCTCTCTCTATCTCTAACACACACACACACACCACACACACACACACACACACACACCACACACACAGATGGTTCCTTTTTTTGGCAGGACGTGGGGCTGCTCTGAGGCACACTAACTACAGAAGATATCTGGGCTCTGGCTGGACAAGACCCTGGATGCTGTAGATGCTGCAGAAACTCTACAGCCGGGTCCCTGAGTGTGGCTGGGTGGAAGGCCTAGCTGTGCTATTTTGATAAGTTATGGGAACCTGGCCTACTTTCTGGGTTCCCAAGCACTTTACTTCAGGAAGGGGAGGGGAGTATGAACTCCAGAGGGTGTGGCAGTTGTGTGTCTACTAAAGCAAGGTCTCCAGCTGGATGGTGTTAAAAGCTCAAATGAGACAATCTGGGGCTGGGATAGAACACAGGGTGGTGAAGGGGAGGAGATTTTAAAACTCCCGTTTGCTAATGGGACAGGATTGGAGTGCTGAAAGAAGGAAGAGTTGAGAGGAATCTAAGGCAAGATTTCCTGACAGGCTGTGGCTGCCCTGTTGACCCTTAGGTCTCTCCTCTCCCCTCATCTTCAGTTGCCCCAGCTAGAGACATATGGGATGAAAACTCCTCTAAAAATGCACATTCCTTTAGGATGACCGAGGGGCTATCAGCCACTCTTCTTATTCACTGATTTCATCAAATTGTCTTTAAAGAATCACAGAGGTGGCAGAAGCCATCCTATCATTTTATAGCTGGAAACTGAGGGCCCAAACGGGTAATGATTTGTCAAAGGTCAGACAAGTACTTTGGAGCACAGCCAGGACTAGCTGGACCCCAGATCTCCTGACTCCATCTACAGTGCTCTCCAATGCTCCCAGGGTGGGTCCAGACTCCTGCTAGACTGATTTCCTTGGTCCCTGGTGAAATAAGAAAAACAAGGACAAGGTGGGATACTTTGAACATAGCTGTCAGGTTGCCACCTTGTTCTGACCACCTCCTCTTCACTCTGTTGATGAGGGACAGATTCCTGCCCTAGGGTTTTGGAGATGCCTGAACACATGACATCTGACAGTGGACAGAGGAGATCGACAGCAGTTTATTAGTCGCCCATACTCACAGCCCAGTGGAGGACTCTACACACCAGGCACTGCCAACATAGGAGTTGCCCTCGAGAACAGAGTGAACAACCAGGAGCTGTGGGAGGCTGGCTTGGTAGTATCAAAAGGGTGGGATACCCCTGTTTCCCTCAGGAGCATGTGATTGGCTTGTTTGAATAGTTCTGTGGGCTGGCAGGGAATTGAAGCCTCTTACTCAGGGATAAGCAGGAACTATGCCTGGTCCCTGTGATAGGAGGGTTGATTGGCTAGGGGACCTTATCAGTAGAACTTGTGGTTAGGTCACTTGAGACTTCCAATTTTATCAGATGTCGAGACAGCACATACTATTGAGTCCTAATTTGCGGCTGATTGAGGCCTTATTCCACACACCTGCCCATCCTTGGGAAGGCCTATGCTTTCATTCTAAGGTTATGCCTTTCTGTTTTTTTGAAGTGGTGGTGGTAGAAGGTATGTGTGTTTTTAATGTCCTCACTAGGTGAAAAAAGAAAATTGGTAACTTTCTGTTGACTCTCAGACTTCTTTGGAAATGTGACTTGTCTATGAAATTAAAAAATCTTGGAACCACTGCTCTACACTCTGCTGCTTCTCCTAATCTCTAGTTGAGGTCAACTCCCCGAGTGAGGTCACTCCCTGAAGAACTGCGTGTTTGGTTGGAGAGTATGACAAAAAATAAAGATTATCTCTTAGAATCCAGGCCAAAGGCAAGAGGACAAAGCACCAATGGAGATATAATTTTCAACATTTCTTTTAAAAACTTTAGCCCTGGATATTTAATTAATCAAATAATTAAGACACTATTGTTTTAGGCACAATGTTCTGGCACAGGACTAGACCCTGGGAACACAAAGACCAATAGAGCACCACCTCTGCCTTCAAAGGCTTGTCCAGTGGGGGAGACAGAAATGGTATATAGATAATTAGAAAACAATAGGGTAAGTGCAGAGGTAGAAATGTATAGAGGGTATTGCAGGAGCCCAAGGGAGGGGCAACTGATGACTCAGTCTGTCAGAGAGGCCTTCTTGGAGGAGGTGAGGCATGAACTGAGTCTTTAAAGATGAATGGGAGTTGCCCAGGTGTGGTAGGTTGTTACATTCACAGCCTCCAGTGAATCATGCATCCTGGTACCATGCCCTGTGTGATTTCCTTCCACGTTGATTCTGGGCTTGGCCATGTGCTTCCTTTGGCCAATGGACCATCAGCAAATATGGTGCAAGCAGAAGCTTGATAAGTGTTTGTGTGTTGGGACTTGCCTTCTTGGAATTCACTGACCACGTGAGGAAGTTTGAGCTAGCCATGTAGAGAACTGAGGTGCCTCAGTTTACGTCAACCGCCATTTGGGATTAATCAGCCCTCAGTTGACCTGCCAAATGATCACAAAAGCATATGTAATCCCAGCTGACACCACATAGAACAGAAATAAACCATCCCAGATAAGCCTACTAAGGTGGTATTAAAACCTGGATACAAATTGTTTGATGTTCCTTCATCAAGAAGTGAAGTGTATGTCTCCTCTTGGGCTCAATGGGCTTGTGACTGCTTCAACCAATAGACTATGACAGAAGTGATGCTAAAAGACAAATTTAGGTCTTAAGAGGCTATATAGCTTTTACTTTGTTGGCTGGAACACTCACTCTTAGAGCCACCATGTAAGATGGACTACCCTGAGCCCGCCGTGCTGGATGGAAGCCCTAGCTACATGGAGGGGCATTGTGTAGGCACTGTGGTAGACAGTTCCAGATGAACTTAACCTTCAGAGTCATTTCAGCCCAGGCAACAGACATGTAAATAAAGAAGCTTCCTGATAATCTCAGCCCCAGGCTGTTTGAGTTGTCCCTCTAGCTGTTCAAGTTTTCAAGCTGAGGCCCCAGATATTGTGGGACAGAGACAAGTCTAAATTCCTGATCCACAGAATCCATAAATTTAATAAAATGGTGGTTGTTTTAAGCTGTTGTTTTAGGTGATTTGTTATGTAACAATAGATACCTGATCCAGAAATTGGTACCTAGAAGTGTGATGCTGCCTTAAAAACCTAAACATGTGGTATTGGCTTTGGAACTGGGTGGTGGGTGAAGGCTTGAATGAAAA